TCCCCCCCCCCCCCCCCGGTCCATGCTTTGCCCATTTCAGACCACCAATCTTTCTTTGAAATGTATAGCTGTGTTTACTTTTTGCTTTCAAAACATTTACTGACTTGATATGTGAAGTCGATATATACCTAGTGAAAAGATTGGAAAATAACAAAGGTCTTCAAACTTTTTTGCAAGATTTCCATAGCTATACGCGTTATATACATGGTGTGCAACCATCTGACTCAAAATACCTTGAGATATAAAATAACGATGTTGGTTGATCTAACAAGAGAAGCTAATGAGGAATGCTTCGTTACCGTCAACCAAGATGGCGGCAATGACGTCAGAAGCACATGCTCTATACGTTCGACTCTTCAGATGGCCCATGATCAGGGTGGTAGAGGATGGGGGGGATGGGGGGGATGCATTCCCTCCCTCCTGAAAAAGTTTTATCGTAATTCAGAAGGAACTACTAGACTACAGACACTTATGGTAAAAATTTATTTTATCAAATTAATCGTTTAGCTACTCGTGTCCAAAATACATAAATAATGAAAGTTTAAATGTGCGTGTTCCTTCCGCTAAAAGTTTTCCTTTACACAAATACCGATAATACAGAATGGCTATGATCTATTCATCGCTATACACGCATGCGCAACTACAGCGGTGGAAACGTACAATTTCATTGCATTCAAGATAGTACGCAACAGTTACAATGTCTGTCCAGACCTTCACAGAGATGATTTCATGCAGTGGAAAATGTACGAAATTGTGACTCTTATGCTCAGGTCAAATGTCGAGCTTCACATGAGCCTAACCTAATAGACCCCTTGCATGTGACGTCAAAGTAGCTTGATATGGGGACAAAACAAAAGAACTCCAATCTCCTGAGAATTGGAACCTATTTCTTTATTTCCCAGATTGAGCTGAAAGTGCTGCAAGGGGTCTATTTAAACAATGGATAACAGGGCGGTCTTCTTTGATGTCATTAGGTTCGGTTCATGTGAAGTTCGACTTTTGACCTAAGTCTAGAACGACTTTCTTTCTTTCCAATTCAGACTGTCGTTTTAGGGTATCGCTAAAATTTGCAAGTTACCGCCGTACCTTTGTCATGGAAACGATAGCCATTCTTTAAATATGGAAAGCATGCATTTTAATCGCAATTAACGTGTACGTACTGTAAGTTAGTGGGCTTTTCCACTCATACGAAAACCTTTTTATTTATACAATCTATAATCAGTTTAAAACGTGGCCGTACTAACCTATCTAACGATATTATCTTTCATTTCTAATGCTAACGTAACCTAAATATAACCTTAATATATCATATTTTTAGCAAACGATTTCTGCTAGATGCCTAATGAAATGATTATTTCATGTTCAGAGGGATTAAATATGATCCATTTTTACAAAAAAAAGCAGCTGTTACGCTACAAGGTTATGGAAACTCATTATTTTCGTTTTCGTCGACCTAAGGAACATTTTCAAAAAATAAGTAGCGTGCAACTCGACCCTTTTGATCAGAATAAAAGATTAAAAGAACAAAAGCAAAAGCAGCCATGTTGTAGAATCGTCACGCAACACTTAACTTTGTAGGGAGAGAAGCGTTGCGTGACATTAACCGTTCTTGTCTCTGGTAAATCAAAAGTCCCCCACGAAACCCAGTCAAGTCTAGTGAAATTACTTGTCAGCCTACTGTGTAGCAGTTTTAACCTATGTGAAATTCTTAGATGATGATTATTATTATAATTATGAATATTGCGTACAAAACATTACAAAAAATGCCTTGTGAAATATTTCTTCACTATCAGCAGTCTCGTTTTACAGACTCAGTTGATTTACATTTTGGGAAAAGCTACTGCTAGTTCACTTCATCTCCTGCATTCTTTATATCTGTTTTCTGAGCTAAACAGTACGAAATGTGGTCTAATTCTTCGTTTGCAATAGACGTCATAGCCGCCATGTTGGAAGAATTTGACAAAAGATTTTTCAATGAATTCTTTTGTTATATCTTCCAACATGGCGGACATCCCCTTTGTTATTGTGCTCTCTTGGGATTGATTGCAAAATAAGAATATAGGTGAGAACAATGCCATATATACAATCTGCATTGTGGTCTAATAAAGGTAGGAATATGATGTCATATAATGACTGACAAGCAGAAGATGTTGGTACCCAAGCAAGACCACAATGCTTCATACATACTACCTAACTCAGGAAAGGTCTTTGTCTGGAAAAGACAACAAAATGTGAATCAATTGACCTCTTTTGCTTGGGGTAATGTTTCCCATTTCAGACCACGTGTCATTCCCTTGAGAATAAGATTCTTCGTTTGAGCTGTATCCATATTCATGTGTCTTCTCATGTGCAACCGAGTGCAAACCTTAAACAAAGAAATGATACTCTAGGGAATGACATGTGGTCTGAAATGGCAAAACATTACATCAGAGCCGAAGAGGTCTATTGAGTTGAGATGAGTACAACGTTTCCTAATTTCCTCCACCAAGCCATGAGCTGATTACACCTTGAGTGCTGATCATTAACGCATGGATAAGAAGTGGCTTTTGTGTCTCCTTAGCTGTATTATTTAAGACAATTTTCCTAGTTACAGTGCACTTGTTAAGATGTCTAAAAGTTTTACCTCACTCTTCATGTTCTTTCTCTAAAAAAAATTAAATAAAAACTTTTTATTCTACTGAAACAGTCAAAATGTAGATCAAAAACAAAAGAATCTGACGTAAAATCAAACTTAGCCAATCAGGATGAAGCAACAAAGACTTGAATTGAAAAGATATCTGGGGCGTGGCACAAAGAGTGGAAAGCGCTATCCGATGAAATATGATCTTGATATTGCTCTCTCTTGATTGGCTATAGTTTTCACTCAACAAGAAATGCAAATGGTTAAGTCAGGGCTGTAGCCACAAATTTCTGATTGGTCTGGCTTTCGAGGGTTTTCAGTTTTTGTTGTTTTTTTATTATTTTTATTTTATTTTTTTCCCCGAAAGTTGGTCCAACTGAAACTGGACCAACCGTACCGGTGGCTACGGCCCTGTAAGTTTGTAAAAGTGGTCCCATTTAGTATTAATGCGCATGACAGGTAAAAGTATGACCACATCAATTTCTCCACATACTTCTATGCATAGGCTTTGAGTTGCAAATGAGCTTTTTCACGCCTTAGGGATCGCTCATTTTTTATGGGCTTCTTATGGGGGGCTTGTGAGAAGGTGAAAAAAATTCTGAAATCTGTTCTATTAAAAAAAGTTTATTCCATTTCAATTGAGCAACAGTATTCAAACAACAATGACTGTAAAAGGATTGGAAAGCAAATGTGCTCAGAAAACCTATAGTACAGCATTCCATCAATGGAGGGGCTTATGACCAAGGGAGCTTACGACTAGGTGGAAATGGGTGGGCTTATAATTATATTATTATTTATAAAGGACTACTTATACGTAGTATACGGCAGCCATCTTGGATCACAAGGCATTATGCGGCATCCAGCAGGCAAATAAAGCTTTGTTAAAGTAATGATTTTGATTGACATTAACTGATCACCAGAAGAAAATAGAAAGAAAGAAAAGATAAATCAAGACGGCAAACTGATCACCTTTAAAAGAAAGACAAACACAAGAAAATCTATATATTTTCCATCATCTTTGTTCTGTTTTGCCCCCTGGCAAGATGGCCGCTGTATCGTCAACAAAGTCCATTGGCAGGGCTTATGAGTGTGTTTGTGTGTGTGTGTGGGGGGGGGGGGGGGGGCTCATTACCAGGATTCTACGGTATACCCCTTAATAAGAATATGCCAGCTAATGTCTATACTAACTTCTTTCCTATAAGCAGCCATTACACATATCTGTCTGACCCTATTCTCTTAGGGAATTCTAAATTTATTGGTTGTGCTTTGGTGCCAACTGGGATATTAATATTTTTATCTTCATCTTGTGACTCTTCATTCTCAGACTTACTCTCCATGTCTTCAAGATTACTTTCTTTATGCTCAGGACTATCCTCATCTGACTCAACTCCTGCTTGTTTTATAGTTGGTTTAGCAGTATTGTGATTATTGTGATTATTTTCTGCTTGTTTATTTATGTTTATAGTGGTTGTGTTGATTGATCCAGTGTTCGGGGATGCTGCTGTGGCATTGTTAGGACTGCCTGCCTTGTTTGTATCATTACCAGATTGATTTCCAGAGGCTATTGTAAGTTTACCTGTGGGAGCTTTTGTTTGTGAGTTAACACTTTTATCCACTTGGGTAACAACAGCTGCACTTGGCTCAGTTTTTACTGTCTGAAAGGAAGGTTTGGTAGCCCCAAGATTCATTTGAGTTTTAAGCTGAGCTATGCCATTCTTGAAAACGTTGTTACCTATTCCTGAAAAAAAAAATGAATTGAATATTTTACATAACCATTGATCTGCACTGATATTACTAAACGTTACAGGACTGTAGTACATTAAGTGGATCCATGGGTGAATAAATGAATGGGATTAAGTGGATGGAGAGATGGATGAAAGGATAGATGGATAAGTGAATCAGATGAGTGTGTGGATAGAGGGATGGACAGATAAATAAAACGGATAAAATAAAAAGGAAGGTGAATGAATGGATGAGTGAAGCCTTATTACAACTAGCTACCAAAGATGCAAATTCAACTTTAACTACAGAAAATCTCTAACTTTCAAGGTTTCAAGGTTTTCAAGGTTTTTTTATTTCCCAGAATGAGAATTTTATACTTTACATCACTATTAAGAAATTTAACTGGGAGGAGCAGAAGAAAACAACCCAAAAGGGTTAAGAGAATAATTCTGCACCTTGAAACTATAAAATACTTTCAAATAAGAACTTACAAGGGGGAAAGTAGCAAACTAAAATAAATTCAATACACATAAAAAGTTATAATAAAGTGAAGTTTGAACTAAATTAAAGTAGGAAATAAAKTTAMATTRAAGCAAAACCTAAATAGAATCAAAATTCTAAAGCAACAGATGTTTTTTAAGCTTATTTTTAAAGACTTTATGTGAGGTACTGGTTTTTATATTAAGTGGTAAATCATTCCAGCTTGTGACTGCTGCATACTTAACACCAAACTTCCCATAAACTTCTAATTTCTACATGACGAGTTCCAAGCTACTGCTCTAAGCTCATGCTGAAGGGGTCAAAAAATGGTATCATGAGTTGTAAAAATTGCTATATTTTTATTGTATTTTTCTTATCGAACACAATTTTCATTAAATATTCCATAGCAGGCACCATTAAGCTAATTTTAAATCAAATATACCAATATATAGCAATATCTACAACCCATGGTTCCACTTTTTGTCCCCTTGAGCATGCGCTTAAAGCAGCTAGAGCCTGGAACTCTTGATACATGTGTTGCAACAGTTTCCATATCTTACCTTTCAGTGATTCTATTTTTTTAGGTTTGTCATTCACAGTTCCTTCAGCAGCAGAGTGTTCTTCTTTAAGTTTACTCAACTTAACTTGGCAAATGTGCCTATAACAATAAAAACAAAAGAGAGTGGTTGATATACTGTCTTATGAGTGAAAACACTTGTCTTGTTCTCATCAATAAATTAATGAAAATAAACAAACAAGATGAAAGTTTGCATTAATACAGTAAAAACACGCGTGTAAACCTAGTGGTTTAAGAACCTGCTGGCAGAAATTTGCCATTTTAATACCAAAAAATATAAGAACCTGTTTAGCCAAGCAAGATCTAGCAGGTTCTTATATGTGGATTTATATATATATACCGATTCAAGAAGAGACTATATATATATATATATATATATATAACTCTTATTGTACATACATATAGTYAYATACATTYTYTAATSAGTTTTRTTAGGCTTATAATAAAGTTGTGAATAAATACTGTACATTCCAGGACCAAGTTTATGTGTTTTCTGTTAATCAACAACTATATTTCCTTCATAGAAATTAAGAGCCTAATTAAGAACCTACTTAGCCTAAATTGCCAATAACTACAGTGTACCTCAAAATACATAGAGGATATTACATGGGCGCTTGGAGATACGAAATTTATCTTCAAGTGTTGAAAAGATCTCTCACAAGTGAGCACAGCAAACGAGTGAGAGATTTTCAACAGGAGAAGATAAATTTCATATCTCCAAGCGCCTATGTAATATTCTGTTTATTATATAATTATCAATGAAAGTATGTTTTGGCTTTTTCAAGGCAATTCTTTTCGTGTATTTTTGAATAGCCATCGCAATGGTGTTATTTTCACACGTGAAAATAACATGTTATTTTCACGTGTGAAGATATCAATTTTTCGAAATAGAGAAAAATAGATATTTCATTGGTAATTATATAATAAAAGAACCTATTTTGCCAGACTTCAAAAATTGTAGGTTCTTACACATGGGTTTTTACTGTAGTTCATTAATTTGCAACTTGTTACTAATGTAGAAATTGTGATTAAAATTGTTTCATCTGCCATGTTTAAACATTTTAAGAAATAGTTGTGCCAAAAATAACCATTGTTTATCATCTAGTATAACATTGCCTAAGATATATATCAATGTTTATTACCAATCATTCTGCACTTTGAATAACTCATCAATCTTTTTAGCCAATGTTTCTTTGACATTCTTGTACATGTCCACAAAAGAGTTTGCTTTGGCTGTAATGGAAGAAAAAAAGAAGTATGAACTCAAAAATTAAATTTTAAATATTATTACAATCATCATGCCCCCTAACCACTCCCCATTTAGCCCCCTTCCCATCTAGCCCCCTCCCCATTTAGCCCCCCACTCCTCTGGCCCCCTCCCCATCTAGCCCCCTCCCCATCTAGCCCCACCCCATCTAGTCCACTCCCCATCTAGCCCCTAAAATTTGAGCCTTAGGTTATCACCATTATTCTTAGGGTGTAACAGCCACATAAATCAAAATTCCTATGAATAATAATGAAACAGCCGCCATGTTGGTTGATCTAATAAGAGAAGCTAATGAGGAATGTTTCATTATCATCAAGTAAGATGGCAGATTACTCACCTGTTAATTCTTTCAGCTTCTCACTGGTTTTATCAATGTCTCCCTTGAGCTTTTGTAGCTCTGCTTTGCTTTCGCTCTGAAAGTATAACAAGTTTATTATTATATTTATATCACAAATGAAACATGGTTGGTTTCATCATATCATTGAACTTGGTTTTTTTCAACCATTTATTTAAAGTGCCCTCACCCCAAACTCAATATTTTCAGTATGAAGTGAATAGTTGAATGGTAAAATATTTTTGTATGATTTGAGAAATGCATCTCGGAGATATCAAGGTTTATACTTTCAATATATTAATTAGACAGTGTGATGTAATAAGAGGTATTATCAAACTCATAAATAATTCATGACGAAAACACAACAGAAATCACGACCATGAAGAGTGTTGTAAATCTGATACAAAACTGTGTTCATTTGCATAAACTTTAAGTTGGATTTTCTTGGCCAAATTCACTTTAATTTTGAAAATTTTAGTGAAACACAAAGGAACTACTAACCTAGACGTTTGATATATAAGTCATATACAGGATTTGTGTCCGTGTTGTATCAGATATACAATCACTCGGCTACGCCTCGTGGTTGTATATCTGATACAACACGGCCACTCATACTGTATATATTACTTATGAAACTCTTCTGGGGCAGCAAAACATCCTGTACAATATAACTTTGTCTTACTCAAGATTTATAGAAAGTTTATTGCAAATTTATTTTCTCATAGTAATCATTGTGCTAACCAACCTCTAGCGTGCACAGCACCCAAAACCAATTCTTGATCTCGTGTGCTTTTATGAATGCACAATTTTTGACATTCATTTTGTTTTTTCACTATGCCACACTCACCTGTTCACTCTTCGTAAGCATAACATTTGTACTTTTTAATTAGCATTTTTAAAACAATTCAAATTCTAAACATAAGAATATAGATAAGAATCGTAATTATACCAAGTACTATTGATTCTCGACGAATTATATTTAGCAGCCAAGTAACTTCATAAGAAAAAATAAATAAAGCGAAAACTGAATAAAAACGTCATAAATAATTAAAATGTAATACTACACTAAGTAAAGAAATATTAAAGTTTTTAAATATATAGGTGCATCTACTGCAGATATTTTGAAAAGAAGCAGTGTTTAAACAGAAAGGATTAAAAAACATATTCTAAATTCTCTCGAAAAGGAGTTCAATATCCATAGAAACTATCTGTCTAGTCCTCGTAGGAAAGAGAATTAAACACGTTAAAAGCTTAGAAAATATCTGATTATTAAAGAATTATAAGCCCGTATAATAAAGGTAGAGGAGTATAGAGTTATATTGAGAAATCCTGGAATGTTTTAAGATTACTTTTTGCACATGAAAGTAAATATAGAAAACCCTTTATAGTAAAGTTATCAAGCTTACTTGTTGACTGTGCAGCGTGGCTACTTTTTTCTTCTCTTGCCCAAGGTTTTGTTGTAATGCCTGTATCTTAGAGTTAAGCTCTGTTTTTTCTTTAGAAGAGGACATGACATTGCCTTCCAGTTGTCTTTTCTTCTTTTCCATGTCAGCAATTTGTGCCATGGCCGAAGACTTCTTCTTCTCAGCCGCTAGATGTTTGCTTGTCAAAGAACGCAAACGGTCCTGTAAATATGCCTGGTCTCGAAGGAGCATACTGTTACGAGATGAAACACTCCAGTAGCTGTATAATAAGACCACAATTACTAAGGAAAGACCGACTACGAGGAAGGAAGGGGAGCCTGAACGCAGACCAACTCTTCCATTGGACGCCATTTTGAAAGGACCTTTGGATCTATCCCGTCATTCACGCGCGTCGACAACAACATAGAAAATATAGATTGGAATGAGGAGTTGAGATTTTGGAATCTAGGCCCAGATTAAATAGCCTAATCCAGGTTTAATTTTTAATCTGGGAATATTTTCCGTTGTTCAATGCACGATGTAAACAAAATTAAAACAAAATGGCGGGTTTGTTGCTCGATAAGTGGCGACGCGCATCCAAAAAATGCAAGTCAGATCAATTTTTTTCGTCACGCGATAGAATTTCTGACAACTCCCGTACAAATAATTCGCGATTGTTATTCGTACGGGAGTCGGTTCAGCAAATATTTACCAACATTTTTCACTCCCGTACGAATTATTCGCGATTGTTATTCGTACGGGAGTCGGTTCAGCAAATATTTACCAACATTTTTCACTCCGGTACGAAT